AAGATTGATGACAAGGACCTTCCCCCAGAGCCAACAGAGAGAGAAGGCCTTCCCCTGGAGCTGGTACCCTGAATTTGGACTTCTAGCCTCCTAAACTGTGAGAGAATAAATTTCTGTTTGTTAAAGCCATCCACTTGGGGTATTTCTGTTACAGCATCACTAGATAACTAAGACAGAGCCCTTGAAGCTCGTCTATATCCACACCTTCATTTTACACATAAAGAAACTGAGACCCAGAAAAGTTAAATGTGTTCACTGGAATTTAGTCAGATGCTAACGTGCCTGCATTACAATAGTTTGGGTTAGATTATTTCAAAAGTTGCAGTGTAGACTATGCAGTAGCCATTTAACAACTTCTTGATTAAATAAGTTGTTTTAAGTTGTTATTAAGACCTAACATCAGCTATAACTTTATTTTAGGTAGTACTTGAAGAAGTCTTTCCTCCGCGCAACATCCTTGCCTCTTGTCACAGAGCACCCCTGCATGTTTTGAAATGCATGTGACTTTCTAGTGCTTTAATTAACTCTTCATATGGTATGTATAGATTCTTTACATTAACGCCTACTTCTTTGATCTGCTTTTGTATACACTAATTTTTTTGCAAGAAAAAACAACAAATTGGCAATGTTTTCTATGTTTACAGTGAAATTGTTCAAAACATTTTAGGTACCAGTAATATTTTTTCTGAAGAAGTTCCAATTTGTGTTCTGCAATGAGAAGCTATTTTTCTGTCATAATGAGATCATAACTGGGCAGAATAGGAATGGAATTTGTAAAAAGGATCATTGACTCAATCTCTAGCTCTTTTACTGTAAAGTCATATATGTGGTGCATTAGGTTGGGACTTCCATACTAACCTCATGATGCATGGATAAATTTTTCTATGTCCTAGCTTTGGAGATTACTGATCCACTTCTTTCGGCTATAACTTTAAAGCTCTTTTCTCTTTGGATTATGAATATTGTAGCAAGAATTTTGCACTTTTTCATTTAAAAAATTGCTGTTTCTTTCAAAGGACAAACAGCCATTTTTAAAATAAACAGACAATATGGACCATTCATTCAAAAAATATTTGAGTGTCTATAATGGACTAGGCACAGTGTGAGACCCTAGGGATACACTAGTGACCCACACTCCCCACTGCCTCTCAGCAGATCATTTCTGCAGCTTATTTTTATGAAATGGTCATTGAATAGCTCATAGATTGCTAAAATTGTAGGTTAACTTTATTAAAGAGACATATTAAACTTAATACTTGAAAAGTTTATTGTGATTAGAATTTTTTCATAAAATTGTTCCTGAATTTTTGTCATTGAACTTATTTTTAATGTCTATAAAGAATTTGAAAGACAAATATATTGATTCATGTGTTTTATTTATGCTTCCAAATACCTATACAAAATCATTGTTAAAGAGATTACTGAT